TTCTTGATTCGACAACTTTCCTTTTTCTGGAAGAGGAATTGTTTTTCAGAAAGGAGATTTCAAAAGTAGTTTAGACAGTGAAATTACTGCTTTTGGTGTCTAAATAGTGAAGCTGTAACTTGGTACAAGGGCAAACCCTGTCAGGATCAGCTATGACAAACCTTGGTTGAAGTATTGGAGCTCAGCCCTTGGTCTGATATGAAGGCAGAAATAGAGGGATGTTTTGCAGCATGTGAAGGAGAAAATTTCAGGCTAGAACTTCCCCAAAAAGTCCCTTCCTTTGGAGAAAGCCAAAAGTACACTCTCAGCCAAGCAGAAGAGGTGCAGTCAATGGCCCGAGAGGTGAATAATTTGGAAAAGGACTGGGACAGGAGGGCAAATGTCCCCTGGAAAAAGGGAGCACTGAGCAGAGAGCCCAGCAGGTGCTCTGAGCTGCCCAGGGGCTGTTGTGCTCCTGTGTGTGGTCACTCAGTGACTTCACATAAAAAAGGAGCTTTTCTCTTCTAGACACAAACAATTTTTCTTGTAGAGCCTACTGAATAAGTCTTTCAGCCTGAATGACCTTTCCCAGCTCCTGCAGGTACGAAAGGTACCATCTCATTATAATAATATATTTTCATCTTCCATGCAGTTATTTATAAACAGAGGAGTTAGATAGCACTTTCTCTCTCCTTTTTTTTTTTTTTTTTTTTTTTTTTTTTTTTTTTCCCCCCATGCACAGCATCATAAATGAAAAATCCGTACTTGGAGTCTGAGCTGGTATCCTTCCAGGATCATTTCTCAGGCCATCCACTTGCCTGCCAGTTTCAAAAATAAAAGTGTTAAGCAATGTAGTAACTTTTTTAAGAGGGAGAGCAAGGGTAGGACAGTGGGCTGTGCTGCCCCAGGTGGGTGGATCTGCTCAAACCCCTGTTCTTTGGCCAGGCTTTCAGCACACTCAAGGTGAGGGGTATTACAGCTGAAAGGGTGGGGGATTTATATGAGGTAGGAATTTTTGATTTTACCTTGCCAAAGCTGAAACTAAGAAACATCTGTCTCTTAGTGTTGGTGATTGCTGACATGCGTGGATGAGCTCGTTTCCTGGCTTTTCAGAGTAAAAGAATGACCATATAAATGCAAGGAAGCAAAGCATTTTAAAAGAAAAGAATAATTTAATGTAGATTGGGACAAGTGTGAGAATCAGGCTCATGGGACGACTTCACAGATTGCTCAGTGTTTTATGTGGTCCTTTTTAATGCTATTTTCCTTAATAATAGCATTGCAGCTTGATTAGAGTTTTTGCGCTGACTACAAAAACATCCCAAATTACTGTTTTATATTCCACATCATGCAGAAAGTCTGTAAACTTTCAAAAGGACAAGCTGAGGTAAGGTAAAATCAACCCTTATCAGAGCACTGGAATTCGTTAAAATAGTTTCTAAATTAATAAGGCCCAATGCTTTGACAACCCAGGTACCTCTAACAAATTGCTCCTTGTTATCCCTTCAAGTGAGAAGGCAGCACATCCAGATGTGCTGTGACAGCTGCGTTGAGAGGGTTCTGGAGATCTGATATCTTTAGATGCAGGGTCTTTTCCCCTCTTCAGCACAGCCCTGCAGTGGGGCTGCACAGCCTGGAAATCATTCCAAGCCTCCTTTTGTGCTCTTTGGGTGCTTGCTCACGTTCTTTCCTGCAACTCACACCTGCACAGGCAGGAGCCTTCCAGCCCTCCTGCAGCCCCCAGCCCAGCTGCCCCCTCTGAGAACAGCCCCTGCAGGCTGCCCTGGGTCCTTAGCAGCAATTAAAAACAGCTCTGTGAGAGCTCTGCCCTCACACGGGGCAGGAGGAGAAGGTGCACTGCAGAGGTGCTGCTTTTGGGAAAGCTGTTACCCAACTGATGTGAGTATGGATTTAGGAGCATCACTCTTAGAGCCTCATCACATTTTGGTTGTGTTCACCAGAGCAAGAGCAATTTCCAGCTCACAGGTGCAGGGACCTATGTAGGTGATTTCAGGTTTCAGTTAATCTCATACATTTTGTTGTAGAAAAGATTTTTTTTCCCTTTTTCATTTCTAAGTCATAGAGGATCGGTTGGATTCACATTTTGTCTTGCCCTGCAGGGGTTTCTGGAGAAAGACTGAACTAAAACCCAGAGACAGACTTTCTTAGAAACACGACATCAAAGAAATTAGAAAGCAAAAAATATCTGAGTGATCATTATCTTCTTTTGGATTACTATGGGGAAAAACCAAACAGTTTGATCTGGGGGGAATGTAACACCTTTCCCACATGGAAAGAATTGGGTCTGTTCAGCCTGGAGAGGAGAAGACTTCAGGCTGACTAATTGTGGCCTTCCAGCACCCGAAGGGAGCCTGCAAGATGGAGAGGAACTGTTGACAAGAGCAGGCAGTGACAGGAAAGGGGGAATGGCTTCAAACAGAAAGAGGGAAGGTTTAGAGCAGACATTGGGAAGAAATTCCTCCCTGTGAGGCTGGGCAGCCCTGGCACAGGTGCCCAGAGCAGCTGTGGCTGCCCCTGGATCCCTGGCAGTGCCCAGGGCCAGGCTGGACAGGGCTGGAGCAGCTGGGGCAGTGGGAGGTGTCCCTGCCATGGCAGGGGCGGCACTGCACCATTAAGGTCCCTTCCAACCCAGCCCATTCTGGGATTCTGTGATTTTTTGCCCAATTCCACTGGTTTTCTCCTTGGGATCTTCTGCATTTGTCTGTGATAGTAAGGACACACCACCCCTCTGAGATCCCTGCCAGGGCAAACACCAGGACAGACCACTGTAAATATGAATTTTCCCTGAGCAGGGGAACTCTCTAGGGAGCATTTTCTGGCTTAAGGACTGCTGAGAAATACTAATTTCAGAGTGACTTTACATCTGAAAAGCTTCCTCAGCCCCCCTTCCCCTTCTGCAGAATTGTGAACCACCTGCAGCCAGGGAAAAGGGACGGGGAAATAAGGTCCATGCATTTTGGACATGAATATACCTGATGAGGAGATCACTTCTGAAGTGCTCCATTTGCCACACAGATGATTCCTATTTCAGGAATATTCTGTGAAGAATGCCTATGCATGGCTTCTTTGGGGGATGAGGGACGATAGCATCTCTTTTGTAGGAATTATCTGGAGCTTTTAAGCTGTTCCAGTACACAGAACTCTTTTGTTTCTGTAATTGATGCTGTCCAGTCAGGGAAAAGAAATGTGTCTTTGGCTGAAAAAAGAAAAAATAGTCAAAAGCTGCATCATATTTCCTAGGAACAGTGACACCATAGCAACAGTTGTCTTTCAGTGCTGCTGCATCCCTTAATGGCTCTCGGATTGCTGAGCTCTTCTGCTGGAAACTCGGCACACGTGAGCCGCTATGGCAGATAATTACAGTGAAAACCGACATACACAGCACCTCTTTTTGTCTGTATTTATGTTTTCCCATGACCACATGGCACATTATTTCTCTCCTTTAAAAGGACTTTTAGTGGGGGGTTTATTGGTAGAGCTGCTTCGGTTTGATAATCTCTAATGGAATACTTTGTTTGGGTGGGAAATTTTATTGTGTGTGTGGAAAAGAATAGAAAATCCCAAACATATGTGAAAGGAGTAGTTTTTATTAGATAAATGTGCTGTAAAAACGTTTTTGAAATATATAATTCCTTTTAGTATTTTTTGATAAGAAATAAATATTTTTCAGCTTGGAATTTAATTAATAGTAAATTGAGATTTAAATAGTAACGGAGTATTTCAAGCATCAAAATTAAAACTTTTTGATTGACTAATTTTTTTTCCTTCAGTTTATGAAAATGTCAAGTCTATCCAAAATCAAGTCAGGAAAAATGTTTAAAAATTCTTCTAGGATGAGAAAGCTTTTTCCTGTCTAGCTCTGTTCTGCTTATTACATATTAATACTGCCTGGCTCCCTTTGTTGGGTGTGGCTCTTTTGTCATTCTTTTATGAGAACTTGCATGGAAAATTAAACCACGCTCTGATTAATTGAAGATGAATGGCCAAACCACAGTGTCCCTCTTGCACTGACTCTGTCCAGGTTTAACAGAGATTCTGGTGGAGAGCACTGTGGAGTTGCAGTTTAAATGCTCCTAAAAATTGCATTACCTCCACAAGAGGTGCCAGGAGATGGAAGCAGGGCTGAGAGCAGAGGTTTGCCCTCCTGCTGCTCATGCTGGCTGCTTGCTGGGATTTTCACTCTGTACTGTCAGCCCAGCTCCCTCGGCAGGCACTGCCAACAGGATCCATCGGCCGAGCTGTGGCTCTGAAGGGCTGTGCTGGATGTGTTCTCTGGTGGTGCTCTCCCTGCACGGTGGTGCTTGCACAGGGACAGGAATGACTGCAGCAGCGCTGCAGCATCACTGCGAGCAGCACAGGGCCCTGGGAGCAGCGCTGCAGCATCACTGTGAGCACCACTGCAGCATCACTGCGAGCAGTGCTGCAGTGTCACTGTGAGCAGCACAGGGCCCTGCAAGCTCCCGGGCTGAGTTGCCCAGGCTGCCCGAGCCCTGCAGCCATGGCAGGAACTGCTGAAAGCTGCTGGGGACTGAGGTGTGACACACAACGGGGACAGAACACCATGGGCAGGGACTGCAGGACCGGGCTGTGACACACAACAGGGACAGAACACCATGGGCAGGGACTGCAGGACCGGGCTGTGACACTGGCAGGGACAGAACACCATGGGCAGGGACTGCAGGACCGGGCTGTGACACCCAACAGGGACAGAACACCATGGGCAGGGACTGCAGGACCGGGCTGTGACACTGGCAGGGACAGAACACCATGGGCAGGGACTGCAGGACTGGGCTGTGACACTGGCAGGGACAGAACACCATGGGCAGGGACTGCAGGACCGGGCTGTGACACTGGCAGGGACAGAACACCATGGGCAGGGACTGCAGGACCGGGCTGTGACACACAACAGGGACAGAACACCATGGGCAGGACTGGCAGGGCTGGCCTGCTCGGGGTGACAGCCGCTCACAGCTCTGTTCTGGTCTCTCCTGTGCCTGCAGCTAACCAGAGAACACCAGGTGGCCCTCTCCTCCATCACTTACGTCGGCTGTGCCCTGTCCATCTTCTGCCTGACGATCACCCTGGTCACGTTCGCTGTGTTGTCGTGAGTAATTTTAACTTCATACCTGCTGAGCAGAAAGGCAAGCAGGATCCCTTCAGCTACTCAGGACAAAACAAAGGCCATTAATTCTACAACCTTCCTTAATTAGATTCTGCACATGTATTTGTAACACTTGGTTGGTTATTTCTAAATTACTTTCATTTCCTGAAATGGGATGCTCTTTATATAGCAAGCTATTTAAATCTCATGAGAGGTTTTTAATTTTTTTTTTAACTGTCCATACTTTGCTATAGTTCAGGAATCTTGCGAAGAGCCTTGTAGGAGGTCCTGGTCTGGGCTCAGGTACGAGGTGAGCAGGGACTGCAGGACCACTCCCTCTGCCCCCACACATCTTTGGGTTGCCTGGAGCACACAGACAGCCCTTTCTGCTTTTCCACTGCCCTGTCTGTGAGGCAGGCTGGTTAGAAAGGAATGCCCAGTAAGGAAGTCTCGGCCAGCACTGGCTGCCTGACTTCAGTTTCACACAACTTGTACACAATTACCTCATACAGCCCACGTTTATGTTCAAGTGTCTCACTGTTCTCCATCAGGCTGCTTTTCTGTGCTGCTTTAGTGGGATGAAGGACACTGTGAGCAGTGTGAAATTCACTCTATGGCTCGTGGTTAAAAACCTCTGCATCTCCTGCCCAAAACAGGGCAGGTCCTGTGAGCGCTGTCGGTGCTGGGAAGGTTTCTGCCCCAGGGCACTCAGGACCTTTATTCCTGTTTATATTCCAGTAGTGACAAATGAGTTTGAGGCCCAGCTGAGCTTAATACACAACCCTTAATTTCTGGAAAAAAGCTTTCATAAAGGTTTGTGTCTAAATAAGAAACAGAAAACCTGACTAAGGGTGAAGTAACTTGTCCAAGGTTGTGCAGCACTTTGGGAGTGCAGCAAGGAGGGGGACTCTTGTCTCCTTTCATACACTAAACCACATTGTTCACACTTAAGAGTTTGAGTTTTGTTTTCTGTTCCTAAACGTATTTTGGACATCCTGTTGAGAGGCCAGTTTCTAGGGGAAAGGACTTGCTGAATCTCAGTAAACTGATTACAATGCTTGTTTTTTTCCAGACCCTGTATTATTTCCAAGTTTTGAGATCTGTGTTGGTCATACTTGGATTAAGAGCATAACGTGTGGCAAAATCCACTCTAAATAAGTCCAACATCTGCCTGTCTGACACTGTGCTGTTGGCATGTTTAGGCTAAGGGGAATGACCTGTTCCATTTTAGTCTGAGTGCAGAATTGGATGTTAGAATGTTTAGAGACGAAAAAGGAGCAAAAGGAGGAGGTGTTGCTGCAGCAGGGATGAAAACTCCTCAAGGAACTGGAGGCAAACAGAAGACTTGGAAGAGAACTTGGAGCCAGCTGACTGTCACAGGGTTAAGCACCCCACCTACATACAGCATCCTTCAAACTGCCAATTTAACATAATTTGATTATCTTTTCACTGGAGAGCAGGGTCTCATTAAGCAGCTGAAGTTAAATTTTGCAATGTGGTGTTAGATGACTGTGACATAAGTGGAGAAGAATCTGGCAAGTTCTTTGCTACTCCATGTCCTTGCTGGGAGGGCAGTGAGCCCTGCTCCTCTCCTGGGTGACACTGCCCAGCTTGTGACACGTGGAGCTCTTCATTACAAAGCCATTGGCAGCAGGCAGAGCATCCTTTGAGTTACTTTTTGGGATCTCGACACTTCTTGTCATCTCCCTCTTCGTTCCCTTCCCATGGAGCAGTGCAGCAGGCAGGGTGCATTGGAATAGGAACCTGTTATCACCAGGACTGTTTATTTTTTAAAGAGAACAGAGTTTAAGGCAAGGCCTGAGATGTTCAGATCAATGTTTTTGTTTTCTGTTTCCTATTTTGGGATGAGAACAGAAACACGAGGTCAGCAGACTTCCAGGAAAGCCTGTTCTTGTCAGATTTCCAGCTGGTTTTTGAAAAGCCAAGAGAGATATGTTCAAATGATGTTGAAACCACAGTCAGGTTCCTGTCAAGATAGGCACTGCCCATCTGGATATGGAGCTATCATTCCATGCTCAGAAGTTATATTTGTATAAGTCAGAATCAGAACCAATGTATTTTCCCATTCCCTTATTTCCCAGAAAGGCAAATACCAACAAAATGAACCCAGGAACTCTGGGACAGTGTTGGCACAGGTGCCGTGTGCTTTCTGTGAGGAGTGGGTGTGACCTGCCTGGCATCCCAGCACCCATCAGGATCAAACCCTTTGCTGATATTCTGTCACTATTCTGTCACATCAACTTGCTCACGTGCAAATCCATCTCCCGCTGCCTCTGGGACAGCAGCAGGATGCCAAGGGCTCCCCTCAGGACCGCCCCACGCTGCTGGGAGGAGAACTCCAAAGAGCCCACGGTGCCCCTGGCAAGGGCCAAAGGCAGCGTGGGTGCCTGCAGGTGTGCGATGGGCACAGCGGTGCCCCGGAGCCGTGCTGAGCTGTTTCTGTGCCCTGCAGGTCTGTCAGCACCATCCGCAACCAGCGCTACCACATCCACGCCAACCTGTCCTGCGCCGTGCTGCTGGCCCAGGCCCTGCTGCTGGCCAGCTTCCAGCTGAGTCCTGCAACCGTGAGTCACCGGGGTCTGCTGGGGCGGCTGCAGTGCTGGGGCGGCTGCACTGCTGGGGCGGCTGTACTGCTGGGGCGGCTGCACTGCTGGGGCGGCTGCACTGCTGGGGCGGCTGCACTGCTGGGGCGGCTGCAGCGCTGGGGCGGCTGCAGCGCTGGGCGGCTGCACTGCTGGGCGGCTGCACTGCTGGGGCGGCTGCACTGCTGGGGCGGCTGCACTGCTGGGGCGGCTCCATTGCTGGGGCGGCTGCACTGCTGGGGCGGCTGCAGCGCTGGGCGGCTGCACTGCTGGGCGGCTGCACTGCTGGGTGGCTGCACTGCTGGGGCGGCTGCACTGCTGGGGCGGCTGCAGCGCTGGGGCGGCTGCACTGCTGGGGCGGCTGCAGCGCTGGGGCGGCTGCAGCGCTGGGGCAGCTGCTGCATTGCAAGGTCTGGCTTTAACATGCCCTAGCCAAAAATGCCATCCTGCTGCAGGGGGAACTCCTTAGGCAGAGTACCAGCGTCTAAACCATTAAAACTGATGTCTAAAACACCTGGGTAAGATTAAGAAAAATAGGCCAAGTTAACAGCACCACATACCAGTAAAACCAATTTATTCCCACTGTTGATTTTAAAAACACAATTTAAAGTAATGTTAAGGTCTTTGATGGAAAGTTCCACCTGAAGAGCAGAAACAAAACCTGATTTTACAATAAACTTCCAGGGTGCTCTGTGTTTGTGCTTGTAAAAACTTGTCTACTTTTGTGACCAGCTGCTGCTCCCCATTATTTTTCAGAAGCAGCCAGTGGTTTCTATTATTGTGGCGGTGGTGGTGGTGATGTTTTTTCTCAGTAGAACTAGATATGAGGTTTGCACATTGTTCATTTTGCCAATACAGCAGCTACCTAAATTTATATTCAGCTCAAATGGGTTCCCTTGGATTTTTGTTAGGTTTATAAATAACCGTAATGTCTGGTTTGCACAGGCAGTCATTACCTGAGGACCTAAAAGCAGTTTTGAAAACTGAGTTCGTATTCTTTTGCTGTTTAACATTCGGGTGGGTCCTGAATGAGTCATGCAATGTGCAAGGGAGAAAATGAGAGGGGATGGTTTAGAAGGAGAATGAAATGGAGGCATTGGAGAGCAGCAAAAGATGAAACTGCAGACAGTAGAAACCAGGCATGAAAATAATCCTCTTTAAGTAGAGAGCTAAAACCCTCTTGAAAGGACATAGTCTTGAGGGCAGTAGAAGGTTCACTCAGCAGGACAGTGTGTCATTTTCTCACAGGTTTTTGATCCATCCCAAATGTTCAGACAAATCAGCTGAGTCACTTCAGATGGGCTGTGAAGACTTTACAGCTGACCAAGGCCATTGTGGCCCTCAGACTGTTGGGTGGTGCGAAGCCCCAGCTGTGTCCTGCTGTGGGCTGGAGGAGACAGAGCCGTGTTCCGCAGGGACAGCCGTGTTCCGCAGGCACAGCCGTGTTCTGCAGGGACAGCCGTGTTCCGCAGGCACAGCCGTGTTCCGCAGGCACAGCCGTGTTCTGCAGGGACAGCCGTGTTCCGCAGGCACAGCCGTGTTCCACAGGGACAGCCGTGTTCTGCAGGGACAGCCGTGTTCCGCAGGCACAGCCGTGTTCCGCAGGCACAGCCGTGTTCTGCAGGGACAGCCGTGTTCCGCAGGCACAGCCGTGTTCCGCAGGCACAGCCGTGTTCCGCAGGCACAGCCGTGTTCTGCAGGGACAGCCGTGTTCCGCAGGCACAGCCGTGTTCCGCAGGCACAGCCGTGTTCTGCAGGGACAGCCGTGTTCCGCAGGGACAGCCGTGTTCTGCAGGGACAGCCGTGTTCTGCGGGCACAGCCGTGTTCTGCGGGCACAGCCGTGTTCTGCAGGGACAGCCGTGTTCCGCAGGCACAGCCGTGTTCCCCAGGCACAGCCGTGTTCCCCAGGCACAGCCGTGTTCCCCAGGCACAGCCGTGTTCCCCAGGCACAGCCGTGTTCTGCAGGGACAGCCGTGTTCCGCAGGCACAGCCGTGTTCTCCAGGCACAGCCGTGTTCTCCAGGCACAGCCGTGTTCTGCAGGGACAGCCGTGCTCTCCAGCCCCAGTGCCACCCACGTCCACAACGTGCCTTGGTCACACTCAGGTCCTGCTTGCTCAGTCAAGCTTGTGAGATGCTCACACAGGCTGCAGTTTAACAGGTGCAGATTTCCTCTTAAACCTATCCCAAACCCACTTTGCTGAAATCGGGGTGGTAGCACAAGGAAGAGAGACCTGTTTTACACCAGGCTTTGTGAGATGAAATGCTTCACAGAATCCGTGGATTTGTTAGCCCCATCTCCTCTATAACAGCTGTAATTGTATGGGATAACACTGTAAAGGTCTGAAAGTTGACAGACGTGATGTAAATACTGCTTTGCCCTCTTGGAATCCGGGGGGATTGTGATTCATCCTTTTATTGGTCTCCTGTCCTTACCTGCTCCGAGCAGCTTTGACAACAGCCTAAATACCTTTAATTGCAGCTTTAATTGAACTGCTGAATGATCGTTTACACAAAGAGGGAGGCAGTATTTACACTAGCAGGTGTGAATTTGTGATCTTTGCCTCTTCCAGGGCTGGTGTGTGGTGCTGAGCTGTTTTGGGGTGTCCTTGCAGGACCCTCTGTGTTCCCCTCTCAAGGCTGGCATTGCCTCCTTGTCTTGAGCCTCCCCATCCTTTCCCCACCTCTGGCTCTGGGGATATTTTGATTTTGATTGCAGATATGGCATACAGCATTCACTGCTATTTTCAGATGCATTATTTAATGATTTACAATTCATTCTACAGCAATTTTTCTTTTGTAGAATAATAGTGGTTTTTAACCACAAAGCTCTATCTTCACAAACAGGACTTTAATCTTTCCAGTACACCTAATTTATTCATTTATTTATAAAAAGCTGGTCATTGACACCTACCACCAATAGTTAACTGATCATGGCATATTCCAGGAAGGCAATTCTTCCCAAAATCAGGATGTCTTTTTATGTCTTTATATTCTTGAGACACAGAAAAATGAAAATTGAAGTATAAGGTGTTAGCCAGCACTGAGTTTTTTCCAGCACAACCAGAAAATCTAATGTATCTACTATCTGCAGTTCTGGATCAGGGAATTTATCTCTTTCTCACTCAATACTCCTGCCTGGCATTGCTGGAAACATCCAAACAGAGAGGTGAAACAAGCTGCTTTTGTTTGTGATCTATCTGTAAAATTACCTATCTGTTTTAAGACTGTCCTAGGGGAAAAAAAAAAAAAAAAAGACAAACTGGGAGGCCTTTCTGAAAGCCTGCTTTTCTTTCTCATCACCAATAATAGCACAGACCTTGCTGCTGGCTGGGCTGCTTTTTCTATTTCCACAGACCCTCTAGTTGTCAACTCTAAGAGTAGCAGGAACAAGACCTGCCTTTTTATGAGTATTCTGCTAAAAGCAGGGTGTTTCACAAAGTGCAGCAAGAGAGACATGCTTGGGCTTAGCGTGTAAAGGCTCAGCTTCTCTGTGCTTTTACAGAAGGCAATTTTGCCATAACACTAACTTCTAAGCAATAATCAAGGCAAAAAAAAAAAAAACAACCCAAAACCAGAATGAGCAGCAACTTTGCTATGGATTTTATGTACAAATCTGCAACTAGGTATTATACAAAATTATATACAGACCAACCTCCTGCTACTTCACTGTGTGCTATTTTTCTGCTGTTTTGTGATTCATATTGTTTGGCTACTCAAAAATTGGAAAATATCCATTTGACAGAGCTAGCCTGTATGTCAGCTTTATGCTGCATTTAGATTCTTGTGGACTAATCTGGTAGAAATCAAAAGGCATTAAAATGGATTTTATAGCCTTATGATAAAATTAACTGGAAAGGCTCTTATAGCTTTTGTCAATAAGCTAATCTAGTTTAATAATATGTCACTGAACTTTGTGAAATACTAAACCACATAGAGACCTCACTTACACAAATCAACCCCAAATTTATTGCTTTTGAATGCAGGTAGTCCCATTGGATTTGCATTAGAATGTCCTTGCAATGTCCAAGTGAGTGTGTACAGGAAAGCCTCCGTTTTCATTATGCCACTAGGTCCCAGGGATTTATTTTCAATGGATTCAAAATCCCAAACCACCAACATAAAGAACAGAATGCCAGCACAGCACAGCTTAGCTCAGGCAAAGAGAGCAAACCAGTAACACCCGAGGCAGTAACTGGTTCCTGCTGGTGGAGCTCCCCAGCACAGCTCCCCCTGCCCGGAGCCTCCCTGGGGCTGGTCCAGCTGAGGAGGGCAAAAGCCTTCCCACGCCAGGGCTGACTGCAGGCAGCCCCGGAGCTCTGCAGGTGCCACAGAGGGCTGGCACAGCTGCAGGGCAGAGTGTGCCTCCCTGCAGCCTGCCACAAACAGGCCGTGGGGCAGGGCTGGGGCTGCTGCAGCTGAGCTGGGGCAGAGCAAACCAGGTCCTCTGGTGGGGACATCAGTGTGGGGACATGTCTGTGGGGACATCAGTATGGGGGCATCACCTGGGGACATCACCTGGGGACATCCCTGCAGCCACCTCTGCTCTGTCACTGAGTGATGGGCACAGCCACTCTGCTGGAACCTCCTCAAAAGAGTGAGTGAGGAAGGGGAAAGGCAGAGAGTGAGGAAGGGGAAAGGCAGAGAGTGAGGAAGGGGAAAGGCAGAGAGTGAGGAAGGGGAAAGGCAGAGAGTGAGGAAGGGGAAAGGCAGAGAGTGAGGAAAGGGAAAGGCAGAGAGTGAGGAAGGGGAAAGGCAGAGAGTGAGGAAAGGCAGAGGGAGGAAAGGCCAGTGGGGAGCACCTGAGGCTGGAGAAGGAGAAAGGATTCCACTCTCCTGTTTTTAAGCCAGGTTGGTCAGAGGCTTAGAGAAAAATTAAAGATGCTGAGAGGAGCACCTCAAGGAAAAGCAGGCAGCAGGGTACAGGACAACACTTGTACCCCACTTCTTTGACTCCTGTATTTACTACCGGTTCAGCAACCAGACTCAGTTTTGATTCCCTAAATATTGTGTAGACTTTAATAGGAATACTGCTTCCACTGTTAAAAATAAATAACACACTTGGATTTCCACACCACATTTGGCAATGTTGTTAGGGGTTTTTTTATTTGGGTTTTTTTTTTTTTAAGGGTAAGAGGATTTGTTACTCTGAAGCAATCTGAAAATGCAGTAGAAAAATGAAATTGTCTATTGCTTTCTTTTTAAGACAGTTTTACTTCAGTGATTTTGCATTTAGCCTGCAAACGTCTATAGAAGTTAAAAAAGAAAAACTGATGTGACTATATCACAAAGAACTAATGTATTCATTTTTATTCTTAATTTAGCTGCCTTGCAAGATATTTGCCATCCTCCTTCATTTTTTCTTCCTGAGTGCCTTTGCATGGATGCTGGTGGAAGGATTTCATCTTTATAGCATGGTGATCAAAGTATTTGGGTCAGAAGAAAGCAAGCACTTATATTATTATGGAATTGGATGGGGTAAGCATTTAGTAGCTGCTTACTTTAAGTCTCCTCACTATGGGACAAGATTATATTCAGAAGCATATTTGAAATTGTCATCTTATGATCACAGTTTGCCTTAGTGAGAGTGGGTCTGTTGGATGAGAAAATGCATCATTTTTCTGACTGCAGTCAGACTTGTAGTGTAGTCCTTGAGCCTAATTCCACTGCAGGAATTCCACAGCCTGTCCAGGCTAGGTCAGACCCTCGATTACCAAACCAGTGGCAGGACTGAGGGAGGGAAATCTCACTACACTGCTGTGTTCTTTGTTTGGTTCTGACTCACACCAATGGCTTATTCCATCTGTATTCTGCAGTCGTGCAGAAAAGCGGGCACAGCAGCACAGAATTATCACAAGACTTCACTGGCTGGTGCTTTGTGCCTTGAAATCCTTAAATAAGAAGTGTGCACAGAACCCCAGTGTTGTTGTTACTAGGAATGAAGAAGTGGTTCTGTGACATGGGAATGTCTCAGACAACAATTCAAGTTTTTCTAGATGCAGCAATAAAAGCATAACCCATGTGCATTTCTGGAGAGCCAGAGCTGGGTATTTTCACATATTTAAAGGGTTGCAGACCCTGACAGCAGAGCAAAGTCACTTGCTGTCACAGCCCTGGGAGACCAGCAGTGGTGCTTGACAAAGCTCCACATTCAGGAGAGGGAACCTCATTCACTGGGTCAAAGAATAGGTGTGAAAAATAGAAAAGGAATATCCATGCAATTACAGACAATTTCAAAATATGTTAAAATATGCATTATCTTTCCTTCTCTCCAAATTCATTTGGAGATACAGGAAGAACAATTATATCAGTAATACAGATCTGCTGCAGTCATAATTGAAATATTTAATATCTATTTGGCACCATGCAGATCTGGGTGATAGTAATGCATATATATATATATATATTATATATACATATATATATATATATTTCAAGAACTACCTACTTGACCTTTTGTCAATTCTCTCCTTTTTATTTTGTGCACCTTTCCTCATTCATTTAAAAACCTTCTTGGCTGTTGTGTGTGGGGGCCACAGTCCCCAGGTGAGCACGGGATGCCCCAGGCTGAGGGGATGAGCTGCAGCTGGAAGGTTTTCTCCTCTTCCCCCACTGCTTGGGTACAGGTTCAGTAATTCCATAATTCCACATTCCTGTGCCACTTTGTGCCAGGTTTGTTGGTTGTAACATGGCAGCGATTTAGAAGACACAAAACCAAACCAGGCATCTGATTGGGTCAAAAATCCCCAAAACTGCTTTTTTGCTGTGGTGATTCAGCATACCAGGCAGAGGTTGTTGGCAAAGCTTTTGTGTCCCACCATTTGTAGGATGCTGGGGACAGAGTTTGTGGTGCTGGATGTTTTCCCATTTCAGCCAGTTCCCTTTCCTTCAGAAACTGCCATAGAGTGAAGACTGTACAGAGCTGTCAAGTGCCATAAATTCCATTATTTGCTGTTAGTTGATGTCGTTCCCGACTTCTGCCCAGATCTGATGTAACACAGCAGAAGAAAATAATAGAAAATGAACATCCTCAGTATAAATGGGAGAATATACTTATCCCCATCAAGCAAAGTAGATCTTTTCATCATTGGAGGGAAATACACTTTCATTTGTGCCTAATGCTTCATCTTTCTCAATAAATGACATATTTAGCCTTTTAGAACTGATGTTCTAAAATTGTTTTGAATTGTCTGCCACAGAGTTTCAATAGCCTGGTTTTTGGTTGGTTTTTTTGTGGTTTTCTTTTTTTTTTTTTTTTTTTTTATTCTTTGGGGTTTTTTGCATGTATAGAAGACACAGAATCTTTCAAAATACAATGCTACTTAACTACTGAGTATAGCCCATATTTATAAATACATATTCGTATCAATATAGAAATATTTATAAATGCGGTTCTAGCTGCAGTTATTAAAGAATGAAAATACTTCTTCCAAAAATGATATTTCTGCCAGTACTGGAAAACTTTACACAATTTGTGAAGATGATATTGGTAAAATTAGGTAGAAATTGCCTGTCAGAGAATTTTGTAAAGCCCTCATGCAGAAAACCTAAAGAACTAAAAAGAAAATTGAAACTTTAAGCTATCATGTCTAATACTCTGTCTGGGACCTATTTATTAAATTCTTTAAGATGATCAAAGCTCAAACCTTCACATTTTATTAAATCATACAGGAATTAGCAGGCAATCATTTAATATTTGAAGGTATGGGTTTTACTGCACTCAGAACTGCTGGCAATAAACCCCCTGCCTCCTCTCCAGCTCCTGGCCTGGAATGAAGTGGCACAACAGGACCTGGCAGTGCTGGGGCCAGAGCAGCTCTGAGACCAGGAGCAGTTCTGCCTCTGTGATTTGTGTGATTCCTGTGTCACCAGGATCAGTTCTGCCTCTGTAATTCGTGTGATTCCTGTGGATCATGAGCAGATCTGCCTCTGTATGATTCCTGTGTCATCAGGAGCAGAACTGCCTCTGTGTGATTCCTGTGGATCAGGAACAGAAGTGCCTCTGTGTAATTCTTATGTTATCTCATGAATGTTTCTTCACCTCCTAGGGCACAGCCCACTGCATCAGTCAAAGCCATCTGGAAACATAATTCGCTCTAAACACAAAAGTCTTGCAGACCCATGACATATTTATGCTTAACTCAGCCTTGACTGGGCCCCTGAGGCAGCCTGAGTTTGCTGGCTGTGATGCTCTGGATAACCAAATGTCACCACTCTTGTCCTCTCACCTGCTGTCTATGCATCCCTGTGAGAAACTCTGCTCTCCTGTCTTACATTCTGAATTCTTGAGCAAAAATGCACTTACCTGGGGAAAGTGGTTAAAATAAGGCTGATAGTGCTTCACATGTATCACTGCTGGATAGCAAGAGGCAGAAAGTCTTTTAAAAAGGCTTTTTAAAGCCTTTAAACCTTTAAAAGAAAGGTTTAAACAGGACTGTGATTCCCAAGGAAGTTAGCACTGATTCAGTTTAACAGTTAAACTAGTATTTTATTAAAAAGTCATTTTGTCTGACATCCGTTAATTAGTGTTGGATTAAACAGCTGCAGGAGGATGTCAAGTTAGAATTAATTTGAAAATTACTCTGAGCTGCTCTGTTCATACAAAATTTAGCAGAACTTTCAGGGCTTGCTGGAAGATGTGCTTTTATTCCTAATATTGCCTCAGCATCTGCCTTTCTGTGCCTTGCTGCAGGCTGCCCACTGGTGATCTGTGTCATTTCTGCAATGTCGTCCCTGGACAGCTATGGAGAAAGTGGCAAGTGAGTATGAAAAAAGCCTCACTGCAGGTGCCATAGGGATGGAAATCTGATGTGGAGGAAATTTGTAAATGTGTTAACTGGGCTGTGGTGCTGCAAGGTCCTCCTGAGGAGCAGGGGAGAGAGTCTGCAAAAGGATGACTTGTGTAGAGATATTGTTAAACACAGAAGCCTCAAGTCTGGTTTTCACAGAGATGATTCACAGAGCACAAAAAGCTCCTGAGATGTTTTTCTTTCTTTTTACTGAAGAGCTCCTCAGTGAACTCCCTGCTCAGGGGGGAAAAACCTGCACCAAGATGAGAGTAACCATTGATTAAAGATATTCAATCTTCCAAAGAAAACTGCAGTTACACACCTGAAATTTGGAATGGATAATGTCCAAAACCTTGAAAATTAATTTCCTTTCTAATTTGGGAAAAGAAGAGCAAGTTTATCTGAAAGAACTCTATAGAATTTAATCCTAAAATAATTTTACATGTGGAAACTGGTTTATCTCTTCAGGGCTGTAAGAAGGGCCACATTGTGTTTGCCAGCCCCTTCCCCAGCACCAGCCAGGGGAGGCAGGGAGGGCTTAAATTTGTCCCTGGCTGCAATGAGACAAATTCACTCCAATGAGACATTTCACAGTGCTCCAGCACTGAAATGACTGCCTGTGGCTGAGGGCACCAGAACAACAAATTGCAACTAAAACACTTCCTCCTTCCCATCTTTGCACTCCTGTGGAGGTGTGCTGGGGCAGAGAGGTGTCACTGACTATGTGACAAATCCAAGTGAGATCCCACCTTGGCTCCCCAGTGGGAGGGAAAAGGAGCTTTTTCCTGATGTCTGTCATGTCTCTTGCTTTCAAAATTCATCAGTCTTCTTGCACTCTCTTTTAGTTGTTTTATGGGTTGGGTTTTTTTTTTTTTTTAATTAATAACTTACTAATTAAATGACTATGTGTTTCCTCTGAAACAACTCTGATTTCCCCTGCAGCTGCTGGCTTTCACTGGAGAATGGAGCAATCTGGGCTTTTGTGGCACCAGCGATGTTTGTCATTCTGGTAGGTACCAGCACAGAGCTGCTGTTCCTTGCTGCACCTCTGTGCCAGCAGGACTGCCTGGAGGCCTGGAGCCCAGTGAAACTGCAGTCCTGAATTCTCCAGAAATTCTGGGTTCCTGCCCTGAACTTTGTGTTGTGCATGGGTATATGTATAACTATATGTATCTGACACTATCCATATGTAGAGTTTACCATTGCATACCTCTGTACCTGTTTGGCAAACAGAAGGTATACCCTAAACTTCTGTATGTGAGCTTACAGTCAAAGGTATGGAGATATTGATGATTGGAGAGCAATTAAAAGAATCCAGTATTCATATGTCCTCTCCTCACATTAGCACTTTTTTTCTGGTCATTGCTCAGCACCAAAGGCGGAGATGAGATGCAGTCAGGGACACCAAACCTTCCCAGGCTGCTGTCCAAGGATGGTGGTAACCAAAACACACCAGGCAGGAAAATGAAATGCTCACTCACCTGAGCCAGCACAGCCTCCAACAGTTTTCATGTGCAGCTGCTTGGCAGAGAAAGTAAGAGTTTAACTGGCTGCCTCTGACTTACGATATCTAACATTTGTGCAGCTCAAATTATGTTCTTGTAGGGACACAAATACTTTCAGAAAGAGAAAGAGTGAGCTCACAAGGTTGATCCACACAGGGCAATTTGTTAAATAGTCTAAACCCAGCTCTGCCCAAAATAGCAGCAAGTGAGCTGACAAATTACCTCTCTGGGCATTGGATATTCCAGCTGAAAAATGTGCTAGTGCCTATAGGGAAATAACAGGGCTAAACACTCTCTGGTGTATGTGCATGTGTGCCTGTGTTCTTTAAATAACAAATTAGCCACCAGCTGCATAAACTAGCATTTAAGTCTAAAAATGCTTCTCAAAAAGCAGTTTTTGACTAGTTCAATCCACAGTGTCTCTGCCAAGAAAAAGGATTATGCTGTGAGGAAAAGAGGGGGATTGCTCCTTTCAACTCCCACTCCCCAGAGACCAGGCAGACACAGTCCCCTTTTATCCTGCCCCAGCCTCACAGGCAATCCAGACACGAGAATGATGTGGAGGGACTGTGCCTGGGGAAAAGCACTCACAAATTCTTTTCTAGGCAGTAATTCACAGAACCTCCCAGCCCTATATAGATTCCCATACCAAATTTGCTCTTTCCTTGGGGTTTGAGTCAAGGGATATGATGGAAGAAATAGTTCTTTCTATATGTAGGTCTTTTGGCTTCTACCTACATCTCAAGGTTTTAAGATCACTCTCCTCCACACCCCAAACCACAACACACATCTGTCATCTCTATATCATCCTCTTAAAGCAGCTTCACAAAAAGTCCTTGAAATTAATTTGCAAACCAAACTAAGCTCAGCCCAAACTGCCTTGGGATGTGTTTTCAGTCGAGGGGAAAAACCTGACTTAACAAAGCACCTGAATTTTTGACACAAGACATTAAAACTTCTGGCAGAAGGCTCTGTTTGTTATCAGCCATCTGCTGCCTTGGTGTGTTTCCATAGATATGGCAGAAATTAGGGAATTCTGTGGAAAGCATCTGTGTGCCTGGAGCAGAGGCAGTGCTGCAGGCAGGGAACGAGGAGCAGACACTGGCCTGCAGTGGCCAGGCCTCTTGTTTTCCCTGTAAATCGGTATTTTTCTGGTGGTGCAGTTCGAGTGAGAGTTTGCAAGGCTCTGAGTACAGCACAGAAATGACTTTCTCAAATATGCTCATTACCACCTCAAAGGATTTACAGGGGTTATTTACAAAATATGATTTGGCAGCAATAGGGAAAATGATCCCACGACCATTGAATTTCACCTCTCATGTCTGTAAAGCTGATTGAACAACAGGTACACTTGTTATTGAGAAGCTGGCAGTTCCACAGGATAGCCTTTGGATAAACTCGAGAGCCATGGCAAAAATGAACTATTACAGATATGCTCTGATTCTACAGCAGGTGAAGATCTGCCCTTAGAAAACTTAAATTTAAAAAGGGGTCAGAAGATTTGGAAAAAACCCAAGGAAATAATTATAATCAAATTTAAACATCTTTAATTCACCCTCTCATCTTCAGAATTAGAATATTTATGTCGAAGTAGAGGATGATTATTGAGTTTTAACTGAGGAACAGCATTTTTTTTGAAGTCTTCTCTTTCTTTTTGTTCTGTAGTTCAGGATAGTTTTGTTCTACCCTTGTTCTTGACACTTTGTAGCTGATGTGCAACTTTAGACAGGAAGGGAAAATACGTATTTCACCTTCACATTGTCTACATTTTTTCTCCCTTTAAACCCAAGGTCTTTGCACAGCAAGACAGTCTTTGCCACATTTCCTTTAAGTGATAAAGATTTCCTTCTTCCTTCACCTGTGACTCCAGCACAAACCTTCCTTTGCTGAACATTTTCAGTGTTCGTCTTTTCAAGATTTCCTACTTTTCTGTCGGGGATTCTTTTCATTTAATTGATGTTTCTGCTGGACCTGACATCAAAAAGAGCAGAGCCTTTGAAGAGCAGAGTCCAGATTTGCCATCGCTCCCTTCGAATGCTCCATACCCAAACTGTGAGCGGGGTTTGGCCAGAGATGGGAGCTGCACACGCCGAGGTGCGGCAGGACGGTCTGGGCAGAGCGCGGAACAGAGAGGGGTTCCTGCAGCACTGCAGTGCAGACATGCTGAGGGGTTCCTGCACCGAGGGGTTCCTGCAGCGCTGCAGTGCAGAGACCCTGAGAGTTCCTGCAGCACCGCAATGCAGAGACCCTGAGAGTTCCTGCAGCGCTGCAATGCAGACATGCTGAGGGGTTCCTGCAGCGCTGCAGTGCAGACATGCTGGGGGTTCCTGCAGTGCTGCAGTGCAGAGACTTCAGAGTTCCTGCAGCACCGCAATGCAGAGACACTGAGAGTTCCTGCAGCACTGCAATGCAGAGACCCTGAGAGTTCCTGCAGCGCTGCAATGCAGAGACACTGAGAGTTCCTGCAGCGCTGCAATGCAGAGACCCTGAGAGTTCCTGCAGCACTGCAGCAGCGCCACAATGCAGAGACACTGAGGAGTTCCTGCAGCGCTGCAGCAGTGCCACAATGCAGAGACCCTGAGGGGTTCCTGTATTGATTTATAATTGGGTATTGATTTACAGTCGGGGTATTGATTTATAATCAGGTATTGATTTACAGTCAGGGTAGTGATTTACAGTCGGGGTGTTGATTTATAATCAAGTATTGATTTACAATAAGGTATTGATTTATAATCGGGTATTGATTTATAATCAGGTATTGATTTACAGTCAGGGTAGTGATTTACAGTCAGGGTATTGATTTGTGTGTGGGGATCCTGAGCACCTTGGCTCTGGGGCAATGCAGCCATCCAGGCTTTTCCTGAACAGGCAACGGAGCTCCCGAAGGAGGGAGAAAAGCTGTGCGGGTGGGAATCATTGACACAGGGCAAACCACACAGCCCAGCCTTGGAAACCTCTCTTGCCACATAAAGAGAGCACAGAAAGTCTCTGTTTCTGTTTCCTGCTGTGTTTGTACAATGCCGTCCCTGGGCAGCCTGCTCCTCGGACTCAGCCAAACTTGCTTTCCTGACCAAGGCTTGTTTCTCCTCCTCCTCCAGGTCAACATTGGCATTCTCATTGCTGTCACAAGAGTCATCTCCAGAATCAGTGCAGACAGCTACAAGGTCCATGGAGATGCTAATGCCTTCAAGTAAGTTTTTCTCATTGAAATTGTGACAATCTCCCACAAGCAATGTTACACCATGGACTGCTCCCAGAACACTGACTGCTCCTCTTCAGTAAAAGCGAATACTGTCATAGGTATCCTCCCTTGAATGCAGCCAGTTAACCTATGTTTTATTAAAGCTGCATGCTGCACAGGGTGAAGCCTGTGGTTCAGCAGGAGCTGAAGTGGTTCCTTGCCTATGACAGTCTCCAGCATTTGCTGATTCATTATTTTCCCTTTTGCTAAGGGAGACTTTCCTCTTCCTGCTATAGTCAAAAGCTGAATTTCACAGAGCATCATTAATCTGTACTGGGTTATTGCAACTCTTCTGCTCCTTCTGAGGCCAGACCTTGTTTCCAGCCCCAGTTCAGTATAATATTTAGGCACATGCTTATCTTTAAGACTCTCTTGACATTACAAAGCACAAAGACTTACACTGGATTTAAATGTGTGCCTAAATTCAAGCAGATCTTTATATCATCGTGCCTTGAGCCTCTTGGGTTGGTGGCTTCTGAGAATGAGTCATCTTTAAAATAGCACTGGGGGGGTGTAGTTAAGAAGATAATTTAATATATCAAGGATAAATGAAGATGTTGAATATTCCATTTTGTATCTCCTAAAGAAGCTTTAGTCCAAATAGAGAAATGTCACTGTCTATAAATAAAAGAATATGTAACTTAGAAGAAAAATGTGATGATGGTTTGTGTTTAATGTTTCTGAGGCACAGGTTATTGTATGATAAAGATTTGGTGCCACTGTTCTGAAATTGTATTATAAAGAATAATTTTTATGCTTGGATTACTTATGTAATTTTGAAATTGTCATTAAGTTTTAAATATTGGTGACAGTTACCTAATTGAAGTTAGTTTACTTATTATACACTTATCCAACAGGAAAAGAAAAACAGTAAATAAGTCTACACAAAAATCAATAAGACAATTACCCTGTAGTGAAATGAGAAGCCTGGGAATTAAAATGACTGTTTCAGGTTTGGCTGAGTTCCTGTGACCTTCAGAAATACACAGGAAGAATAGAAACTTAGGAAGCAAATAACTATATTGTCAATGCCAAGTTTTCTGCACTATCAGAAGTACAAACACAAAGACACATCTCCATAAGTACAAGAGCAGCTACAGAGGTTGCTCCATGTACTTGGATATTTTACTTTGTTGCAAGGAGTGGATTCCATACACACTGTACCCTGCACACTAACACACACTATTTTTTTTTAACTGCGTGTGTGCACATAAGTAAATTGATTGATGAATGATTGGTCGAGGAATAAGATGTAATGCCTTTAATGATGAGCATATGTTCTTAGCCCAGGTATTATCAGCTGTAGATTTGGAATGGGATAATTTTAACTGAAAATGAGACTTCTCCAGGTACCCTGGCTGAGAGATGCTCTTTTTGCCAAGTTATTTTCACATTACAGTTTCAGGACTTGACCTAACAAGAGTTAGAGGGAGAAAAGTGGAGAAAAAATTATTATCAGAGGGCTGATACATCTGAAAACGTGAACCATTTAGTGATTATGGTGAAATATGCTCTGATAGAATGGCTTTCCTCACAGAAATAAATTAAGTAAACAAAATACAATAGAAGGTAAACAGAACATAGAGAATAGTTCTTCTGTACATATCATTACCGAAGTGGATCCTCGAAGTCTGAAATGAGAAGAACATAAATACATGTTCAAATCAGATCTTGGGAAGTGTTTATACCCTGATTTAACATAGCAGTGAGGCATGATGGATTAGAGTTTTATGTACAGAGGATGTCACGAAGAAAGTAACTGGTCTATTGGAAAAAAAGATAATTATAAAGCCTTTGTAGCACTGAGTTTATATGTCTGGAATGAAATCCTTGTGTGCATTTTCCAAGAAAGAAGAGAAGAAAGCAGAGCAGGGCTGTGATCTGACAGGTGCACGGGAAGTGTTTCACGGTGTGAAATCCCCACGGCTCCGAGCATTACAGGCTTCTGGGAGCTGATTACAGGTTGTTAACCCGGGAGGGTGGATGTGCACAGCAGAACAAATCAGAGACAAACAAGGAGCAGGAAAGCAGAAAGGCTCTACAGTTCTGTGAGGAAGGACTGCAGGGTGGGTTTTGGATCAACAGGTTGAGCTGGCCTAGGGAGGAATCTCTGACGCTGCAGAACGCTTTGTGTGCCGTAATCCCCAAATAAAGGGGCTGCCAGGCATCCCTGAGTGCTGTGCCTGCTGGATATCGCTGTGGGAAGAACTGTGGGCTGTGTCAGGAGGAGTTTTTCAAGCCTTCTCACGAACCAGAGCTGGATGAAACTGGCACGGTGTGATTTGGAGAGGCAGGAAAGCTTTGGCACCCATCGCAGCAGCCAAGCGGGACCTGGGGAGAAGTGGCTCCTTCAGAGCTGGGCTTGTGGTTCCAGACAGCCAAAGGCAGAAATTGGGAGCTGCAGGGCAAGGAGCTGTGGAGGGGAGCCTGCTCAGCCCACCAAAGCTGAGGCAGAAAAGAAGGGGCACTTCAGTGCTGTCTGTCCAAGCTGGGATGAGATGTAGGCGGGCAGCGTGGGCAGCATGTCCAGACAGCGAGCGCTGTGACAGCAGGGACAGCAGGCTGGACAGCTCCCAGCAGGTCACAGCCACAGTGACAGTGAGCTCCAGGGCTCCTGCACTGACCACAGTGGCAGGAGCACGAGGAGGTGCCAGTGCCACCTCTTTCCCTGCTGGCTCTGGCCAGCATCACTTCAGTCTGTAAGCACCGGGCTGGGTAAACATCACACACTTGTGATGTTTCCAAGTGCAAACCCAAGCAGCTGCTGTAGTCCAAAAATGCCAGCCTGCAGGTTTCACAGAGCAGGCTCCTCCTCAGGCTCACCTCTGGCCAGGCTCTGCTGCCAAAGGAGAGCTTTAATCACACTGACAAGGACTAAATTCCACTGCTGCCGGCAGCAGCGGGGAGAGGACCTGCCCTGGCCCTGAGCTCAGTCAAGCTGACCCCACTGGACTCCTGGTCCTGCTGCACACAGCTGATGTGCTCTGTTAAATGTTCCTCTCCCTTGCCCTGAAAGCTCTGACTTCTCCCCGGTGGCAGAGGGAAGCCCAGGCTGTGCTCAGTCACCATCTGCGTGTCTCAAGCCAGGTGTGGGGACTCACCCACACCTGAGCAGAGATCACCTCAGGAAATCCTGACCGCAGACTCCTTCTGAGTCATGATGGCATCAGTTAGAGAGGGTGTTTATTGCTAGAGAAGAGCTGGTGCTGGAGCATGTTTGCTTTCTGAAAAATGAAGTTACTTGGCAATGCAAGTCGATATTACCAACAAGGCTTGTTTCTCTTGGCAACAAGCAGCAATAAACTGATGTAATTATTTAGAGTAATTGTTCCCGATTTTCCATATGGCAGCAGGTCCTCTCAAATGCAGACTCAAACTGCAGAAAGTGCACCAGGGTGAGACAGTGCTCTGCTGTGAATGCAGCAGCTGGCGAACCTCAGGTTTAAAAGCCAAAACAGAAAAGAAAGTTGTGAACGAAATTCCTTTTAGTGTTCTAAAATTAATTAATTTATTATTCATCTTCCCCATTTTCATTTCCCCCAGAACAAAGTGCAGTTACTGGCTTATCGATCTCCTCAGGTTCAGATGTTGCTTGTCACAGAGGAGACAGCAGAGAACATCCTGCTGAACATCTTGTTCTGCTTTCACTGCCACTGGTGTGCTCATTTGTTTGTCTAAAGTAAATAAAAATAGTGCCCCTGAAATGAATTTAAGAAGCAACATAAAAGACCAAGCTTTTATGATACATCAACTGCAAAATACCCAGTAATTTAAGACAAAATGAATTCAATTAAACAGTTTATGATCACAGACACTAATTAAAGCATAATAGACTCCTGTGACAGTCTGAATAGTAAGTATTTGGTCACTGTAGTAGTTTTCCTATGTGTGTGAAAATAGCTACTTTTTTATTGTCTGAAACTTTTATTCTGCAACACCAGTTTACTGGAAAGAGCTGAGCAAAGAATTATTATCATCTCTTATTTATTACTTGAATTTACTTAAGAGCATGCTTTTTGTATTGTTTTTGAAGCATATAGAGTACATATAGAATATTAACTTTTCCTTTAGTTGTCATTGATTATTCTTGAACTTTTTATCAGAGGATTAGCTATTGATTCTCAGCAAAATAATTTTGGGCAATAATTCAGTTGTGGCTTAATGAGAATGTTTTGCATCAGGGAACAGATTTTCTGCCGAATAGCTAATTTAAATGTTTTAGTTTATAGAATGCTGAATCTAATATCTTGAAATATTTAAATGCATACATACAACATTTGTTTGAATTATCCATTCTTTTTTTAGGGACATAACTAATCATATGTTTGAGTTTAAGCATATGAGTAGTCTGTCTAAGCTTAATGCAATTAAAGCAGATTAGTTTAATGGAATTGCTCATGTGCTTGAAAAGGCACATGATTACATTTCTGAGTTATGAACCATTTGAACTCTTTTCTGATTTATTTCTGCTGCATCTAAAGTTTTAACTCTATTCAGCACATGCATTGACATATAAGGGCCCAAGGAAGGTTTTTTCCTTACTGCCCGACCCTTTCAAAGTCTCATTGCTTTTTGCATGGCAAGTGACTTCTCTGTTACAGTGAGAAGAGGTCCCCGATGTGACAGTGTTAGAAAAGTGCACATTTCCTTCCCCATGGGGACAACTCTTGCCTGATTACATTTAGCACAGGTAATAATTTGACTGAGTTCCCTTGACTGCAAGGGTTAAAGTATAACACAGAGAATTCTCAAAGCTGTGTTTGGCACCGACAGATGTTAATTGCAGCAGAGGAAGGATGCCCAGCTTGTCTCAGTTGCAGGAGTAGTGGTTTTAGTGCAGAAGCACACTCACCACATTTAGCCAACCCCCTGTGATTTCCCAGCCAGCTCACTTCTGCGTTCTGTTGTCCAGAAGAGACAGTTTCATTAACTTCTCTTGAATAGACTGA